CATGCAACATACACATTAATGCAGCAGCAATATTAATAGAGAAACATCAGACATAATAGTAAAACACTGTAAGGGAACATTTTATTGCACCAGGAGCTATCTTGGGACTTTTATTGTGACAACGTTGACTTGCCTGTGAATAAAAAATAGACCATAGTGTTGGTGATCTACAGTGTTGTCATTCTTCTTTGAACAGCAAGACCGCTAACACCCTATTTCAACAATCACACTCCCTGTCATTGACATCATTAATAGATAGTTTAGCTTCTCACCATCATTTGCTGTGTCGCACTGATATTAACGATCGTAACTGAAAGACTGCCTGCCAAAAGTAAACATTCGGCCACGTGACTTGCAAACTCTCGCGAGAGTTTTACATAAGACGGATCCTTTCTAGCCATAACCCTAGAGGATGTGAGGTCCACCCCCTACTTAAATCATGTGCACATGGATAGGAAACTAAATACATTTGCACACATCTTGTGTCCATAGCTTTCTGTTGTGGTCCTCATGCCACACCGTGCACGTGCATGCATACGCGAGTCATGGTAAGATATCTGGATTCAGAGGTAGCTTTTTCTTTGCACAGCATGAAAGAAAGGCCAAATGAATGGGCTGTGATTTTAGTATTTTTAAGCAGAGGTCAATCATTTGTACGGCCCTCGGAGGATGTTGAAAAAATTGAAATGGCCCTTGAGAGGAAAAAGGTTCCCCACCCCTGGTCTACCTGATAGTGAACTGTAGCATACGACCGTTATCGTCCTCGTGTGGCCGGGGCTTCAGACAGTTAGTTAGAGGTGTGTGTGTGTGTGTGTGTGTGTGTGTGTGTGTGTGTGTGTGTGTGTGTGTGTGTGTGTGTGTGTGTGTTCTGTACCTTGTGAAGGCTTTCTTGCCTCTCCAGGTGTGGGATGTCTGTTTAGATAGCGGTGAAAAGCTGAGAGGAGGCATCAGACTGTTGACAATCTGGCTGAGCTGGGCACTCTGCAACAAAGAAACCATCCATATAATGCTTAGGGATACATACAAAATAATGGATTGATCAGACTGATAAACATAGCATTCAGGTTTAAGGAAAAAGCTCATTTTATTCAGGTACCTTTGTTTAATTGAGCTTGAAATGTGCCTGGTGTTGCACAATAGGATTCAAAAGGCAATTATTCTGGATAGAAATTAGGTGAAGACATCCAACACTTTTATTTGGCCGAACAAACTCATTTCTGTCAAGTGAAATGAAAACACACAGCCGAGATTTTGTCGAGCTATTGACCGGCATTATTTTGTACTCAATTAGCCTTCTCAAAGCAGGTAATTTTTGTATTTATGTAAAATGTTTAATATACTTTTAGTTTTAAACTAAAACAGATTGACTTATTTGTATGCCATTAAAACAGTTTGCACTTGGATTAACAGTCGATTTTCGGCATCAGCTCCCCTCCTACAACAGATGAAATCTCTTTAGGCTTCACAAAGCAGCAGGAATTTCTGCATTCCATATGCAGTGTCGCTATCTAGCATAACAGCTAAAGGTCAAGCAACATGCATACTTTAATTAATCTGTCTAACCTTCTCTAGTTCCTGCGCTTTTCTACACAACAGACACATTTGTAAGGTTATTCTCATGATTTAGTGTACTATTCCTCTTTACACAGTCGGTATAACTTGTGTCTTTACTATTTCCTGCCTCCTACCTGTCTCTCTATGTTGTACAGAAGGCGTGTGGGGCTGCAGGGTTCATTGTCAGCGTCTGATCCGGCCGTGCAGGATAACCCCGCCAGTTCTCTCAGCAGGGTCTGCTGAATCTGTCGGTCTGTCAGTGGCTGGGACTCTGCAAGCACCACACCACCCTAAGATAAACAAACACACACACACACACAAATAACATGGGATCAACTTTTAAAATTAAACCCTCAACATTTGGGAGAATCTGCCTGAACAGAAAAATAGCCCGTTTTGGATCCTTGCTATAAATATGGACATTTGAATGGATTATTGAACAGGATTAAGAAGAGAGACACCCTATTTCTAAAGCTTTGGTTGTATACTCGGCCATGCATTGTACCACAATTACACAATTATTCTAACATTTATAAAATGGCATTATCTGTTAGAACAGTCCGTGACAGCTGCTTGCATTGTTTTATGTATCTTTAAAGTGAGACTACAGTGGCCCACTTTTCTATAGGAGATGTTATCAAAAGTCTTAGTTACAGTATTGCAGCAACAATTGGCAGAACATTTACATTCTCTTCACTCAAAACTGACTTGTATCAAGGCCCCAGTAAAAGCCCTTAATAATCTATAGCTGTCTATTGTGTCAACTGGCCTTTATTAGGGTCTTTACAGAGGGCTTTTGCCTTACCTTGCAAGAGCGGATGTGCTTGTGGAGCTCCACCAGTTGTTGTGTCCTCCCTTCCAGCTCGGCCAGACGTAGCTGCAGCCAACTCCATCTGCTGCCCAGCTCCGCTCTCTGCTCCAGCCACCGCCTCTCACAGCTGCTGCTGCTGCTGCTGGAGGAGGACAGGGTGATGGATGATAGAGAGAGGACACTTAGACCCGTGTAGTGGTATTAGTTATATTACTCTCTGTCAAATGCTCCAGAAACTGTTACAACCTCACAAGAAGAAATTGCTTCAGCCAAGAATGCTGAAACAATTTCAAGATATTGAATGCAGTCATAAACTCCAGTACAATCATTTACTGGAAGTGTGTGAAGAGGCTAGCATGGAAGAATCACTGGCAGGGAAATGTGTGTCACCAGTGGGAATAGTCACACAATGAAGGGGGATTGAGAGACACCAAGAGAGCACTTACAGCACAATCCATTTGTCAATTCACACATTTGTTCTGCAGCACTGCCTTCTTAAGACCTATCTTTCACCAATCATGTTGCCGTACCATTTGGCATCCCCTCGATTTTGCTAAAGCACAAAAGCTTATCCAGGCCAAAGAATAAAACCCTGTTGATTTCTGCGGTGTGTATCCATAGTATGTTTCCATGGCACTAGCCTGTTCAGTGAGCATTCATCCTCTGTGTGTGTGTGTGTGTGTGTGTGTGTGTGTGTGTGTGTGTGTGTGTGTGTGTGTGTGTGTGTGTGTGTGTGTGTGTGTGTGTGTGTGTGTGTGTGTGTGTGTGTGTGTGTGTGTGTGTGTGTGTGTGTGTGTGTGTGTGTGTGTGTGTGTGTGTGTGTCTCCAGCAGAGCTATAGTTGCTATGGCAGTGCTATTGGACCTTGGCTAGGACAGGAGGGACTCCCCCCACTTCAAACACTCGGATGCAGGACTGAGAAGGGTTAGGCCAGTCAGAGAGCAGCTATATAGAATACATGACATTACCCCTGGGTGTTGTGAGGTAGTTATTCTACAATATCATCTTGTGAAGTAAGATACCAAACATGTTGTGTGCTCGCCTGATCAAAATGAAACCCAGTGTTTTGGTGGATTTGAATAAGAACTTCCCAAATAAAATCAAAGCTGTTTAAAGACTGCTTCTAGACTGACTTTGAATCAACTCTAAGCTAATATCCGTAGGTTGAGGCTCCCTCTTTACTCCACAGACAATGACCAGACCTGGCTGCCCTGCAGCTCTTTCCAACTGTATAATGAGAACATTCCTGGAATATCTGCCAAGCAGTGGGTGAGTCAATGGGAGAGGGTAGGAGAGGAGAGGTTACTATTTACTATTTATATTTTATTGTTATTAAAATCATTAATAAAATGAATGGTCTAGTAAAGCACTGGCTACCCTCCAAAGTGATAAGGTGTGAGTTTCCATAGACAAATCCTGGTTTCATTCAAGGCCGGCCCCAGCAAGTAGCTTTAGGAATTCCCCCATTTGGATAGTATTTCCTGACTCTTACAGAGGCTTTAGAGCTGGTTGGGTGTGTCTTGCACTTAAGATTTCCAACATGAAACCTTTCACAAATACTCCCAAAAATCTAAAATAACAAAACTGCTGAAAACTGAAAATGAGCAACAGCTGGAGGTGTGAAGGACAGCTGCCGGTGAGGTCGGCAATGTGGTTCCAAATTAAATCAAACCAAACATGTCACTGCTTTACAAGTTAAAGTGTCAAAGGGCAACTGTTTCCACATTTTCTAAAGGGGGACAATGAACTGTCCAGTTTCCAGCAAGGAGACATTCTCTTCAAGGAGGAACCTGCCATAAAAACACCCGGGGAAGGTTTACTGACGAAACACAGAGCATTGTTCCACAGACTCGTAGAAAAAGGCAAGCTGACGCTTCCAAGATGACAGAAGCTGGCCAAATAAAACACACACACACACACACACACACACACACACACACACACACACACACACACACACACACACACACACACACACACACACACACACACACACACACACACACCCCCTTTCTCATCCCTGCTCTCTCAGCGCTTACAAAAATGCCCCCTTTTGTAAACAGCCCGTTTATTGCACTGACTCAGGAAACACAAGGGTTGAAGAAGAACATCTAACAGAAATAAAAAAAGTTGTACTGCTCTTAGAAAGGTCTAACTGGACCAAATCCAAGATTAAGATTTGACCCCTCTTTCTCTTCAGTGTTTCTCATTAACGGATTTACTTTTGTGGCACATTATTAAGCAAACTAATACAAAGGTCCAAACAGCAAAAATATTTTGGTTGAAATAAATGTTTGTGCTATGTACACCGTTTTCATGCAAGTTGATACGGCTATGTGGCTTTTTAATGCCATAAAAATACTCTTAACTTGATTTCAATATTATTTTTCTCGCCTGGGGCAATATGACTCCCTAAGAGAAAGGACATGAGGAAAGCAGCAACGCCCTTACTAACCACACACACACAAAAATATTATTCAATATAATAAAGAGGAGCAAGATGGGGAGGAATGGCTGCCATGCGGCTTGCTGGCTCCGCCGTGTTTATTTCCTAGCCTGTGGGCAAAGTGTGTTGAACATGTTATGAATGCAGCATGGAAAAATAATGTGTGTGTGTGTGTGTGTGTGTGTGTGTGTGTGTGTGTGTGTGTGTGTGTGTGTGTGTGTG